AAAATTTTATTTTAAAAATAAAATTTTAAAAAAAAATTTCAGTACAAATTTGTACAAGAAACGGTTTAAGAGATAAAACATGTTTTTTAGATATCGATCGATAGGTAACAATTTTTATAATAATTATCAAAATTTTTCAATATATGCATAACTTTAACGGGTCGATAGTTTTGGATAAAATTTCGTAAAGGTCAGTATTATGTCTCTACAACTAAAGCTATAGAGCCATTTCTTTGATTTCTTTATTTAAACAAAAAAATTTTTAATATGCTGTTATTTTTTCTTAAAGAAAGGACAAAAAAAAAAGTGCTTAATTTAGTTTTATTTAAAAAAATGACTAGCTTTGTAAAAACGTAATACTGGTCTTTGTGAAATTCCACCCAAAACTATCGAACCGTTAGGGTCGTATGTCTATTTAAAAATATTGTTACTTATGATCTCTACGTATCTAAAAAAAAGTTATAGTTACATAGTACACCCAGTGAAGCGGCCATCTAATCATATACTAGATACATTAAAAAGTCAATTAACAATTCAAACTAAAAATTGCAAGCGGGTGACGAAGTCACCCGCAACATGTAACATTTGCTGGTATACTAATAAAATAACTTCGTAAAGAATGTCTTTTCAAGAAACTCAAGTTACATCACGCTGCATCACGCTGGAAAAGGTTGTTCTGTTAAAGGTTGAAGTACTATCTACTCTACAGTAAAAGGTAATAAAAGTATACTTTATATTCAATTCGCAAAGTTCGACTTTGTTTTTTCCGTTTTTTTTCTTTATTATTTAAATTATTAACTTTGTTAACTTTTATTTTCGAACTTCTGTAGATTAATTTTATATTTAACACAATAGAATTATTTAATATATAGTTTTATTAATTGCATGAGGGTTTAAGGAAAACTATTGATAGACATGTAATTTGTTACTAAAACCCTTATAAAATAGAGTTTTTGCAACGCTAGATTTCTTTTACAACGTGAGTTATTTTACTTCGTAGTTAAAACGAAAGAAATTATAATATATAAATAATGCCTGTTGATTGCCTGCTTAGTTCAACGACTATCTATCTGTTTTGATCATGTGTTGATAAAGCCAATTTCTGATTGGTCAAAAATCTTATGATAAAGCCCGTGTTTTTCCGAAAAATGCTAAAGTCCCATGCTATTTCCCGTACGAAATTTGACAATCAGTCATTTGAAAACATTATATAAATTATTCTACTAGTTAAAAAATTTGTCATAAATATTATAAAATAATTGTAATATATTCTCAATATATATAACTAGAAAATTATAAAAAATAATCTTTACTATTTGTTAAATATAGTATAAAAAGTATTGAATAATATTAAGCTATAAATCTTATTTTTTAGCAATATTAATTGTCTCTGTTTTATAAAATATTAGCATTTTCAGGAATGTCATAGTGACTTTCTGCATATCTGTATGCATTTTCTTGAATATTCTCTTGTTTAATTTTTTCTTCATACAAAATTGGACCACATTCTGGCAAGCTATATAGTTTTTTTTCGAGTTCATTTATATCATTAAATGAAATCAAATCTTCGCTTTGCTTGTTTTCAGATACTTCATATATAAAATTTCTTTCTTTTATAGCTTCATTTTTCTGTTTTTCATATATTTTGATTTTTTCATCAGCTTGAGAGTTTTGATTATTTTTTTCCAACTTTATAAAGTATTCTAGATATCCTTCAACTGTATCATTCATAAATGCTATTGAATTTTGTTTTAAAAATAAAATAAACTTTTCCTTAATCTCTATTATTGTTATATTTTCAACTAGCATATCATCAATAAGTTGATGATAATCATCTAATAATACTTGTTCTATTGCAGCTTTATTTGTTTTTTTATCGATCTCTAATGCTAAATTTGAACTTGTGAGACGTGTTTTCTTTACTAATTTTGCAGTGTGAGTATGCAGTTTCCATGAACACCCGCAGATTTTACAAATTCCATTAATTCCTATGACCGAACAAAACCATATACTAAATATGCTTGCAAACTTAACACGGCAATTATCACAACAAATTTTCGCATATCCTCTTTGTATTTCATCATCAATTAGCACATCCTCAGTACACTTGTTACAAATAGTCCTGGGGGATTCGAACACTTCTATATCAAATTTTGTCTTTTTAAGCTCCTCAATATGTTTGTTAGATTTTTTAAACTCATGTTGTACACTTTCTAAATATTTAATATAACAATCAATGCGAGGTTGTATATCTTCAAGAGGTTTTATAAGAAGTTTTACTACTTTTCTAGCATTGTTAAGTGATAGTGTATCTTTTACTTTGTGAGGTGGACGACTTGTAATATATCGCAAAAGTCTCTTTGATTCATTTACTGATTTTTCCCAACTATCTGCAAAATTTTTAGTTTCATTTTCAAATTGAACATTTTTTTTACTTGCTGCTAGAAACCTAAATGATTCATTATCGAAACAATATGTTGTATCCTTTTGAACTTTTATTTCAACACCAGAAACATTATAAAGATCATTAAGATGCTTTTTAAGCGGTGTTAGCGTATCTCCTGGGCGATAGAATGTTCCTCTAGAGTTGGTAAAGCAAAAAATAATATTATCCTTTGCACTTCTAGCTAGATGCGTGAGTAGTGCAAGAATGCAATATTTGAATACTAATGTTAATCGTGCATTGTTTGGTTTAAGAAGTATGCATATTCCATTTAAATATCTATAATGGGAAACATGTGTCAAAATATTTTCAAAATTCCTTGCATCTTGATCTATACCTCTAGTATCTCCAATTCCAGGAGTATCAATCAATTTTATAACTTTGTTAGCCGTATGAAACACATGACATTTACAATTCTGTGTAGCTGACATTCCTATATTTTCAAATTGTTCATTTTGATCATTTTCGCCTATTGCTATTGTTTTTTCGTCATAGTTGTTATCTGTAATTATGAATTTAGATGGAATTAATACCTTCATATTTCCAGATTTAGCCTGCTCTAATGATTCAAATATAAGATAATTCGCAAAAGCATTAATAAATGTAGATTTTCCTACACCCGTTTCACCAAGCAATAATATATTTACTTCCTCATCATCAAAATGATAGTTATCATGAGCTGGTTTTCCATTTATATAATGAAGAATTGCTGGATAGCCAGGCCCTTTTATTCCTGTGCATATCTTAAGCTCTGCTATTAAGAATTTGCACGAATTGTCATTTGAGTTTTTATACAGGTCTTGAAATCTAATGTGTTCTGGTGATGAATTACCACCAATAATATATTCATCATTGTCAAGAAGTATATAGATTTCATAGTCCTGATTAATCTGCAGAATATAGTTAATTGTTTCATCTTTTTTAATGTATTCCACATTTTTCGTTTTTAGAGTGAGCACCAAGTTGGCCTTCTCATGTATATTTTTGTATTTATTAATAAATGCTAATATAGATTCTTTGGATAACATACTCATAATTTTTGCGTATATTTTCTCGATCTCATTAATATTACGTCTCCCAGAACGTACTTCAACAAGACAATCAGCCAGTTCTTTCCTGATATTTGTCTCTTCTATTTCAATATGTCGCATATATTTCTCGATTTCATCGAAAGTATCGTTAGGTATATGATCGGATATTAATTTCGCATCATTATATAAATCATTTAGCATTTTTTTTTGACTTTAAAAAATCATCAAAAACTTGTTCCACTCTTAAAATTGTTTCTTCATTTAATTCTACTATCATATAGCTGATAGTGATATTTAGTTTAAGTTGCCTCGCAAGTTTAGACAATGGATAAAGTTTAAGTTCAATTGGAACACCTTTTCCTTTATTGTATTTTTTAATATATGATGGGAGCTCACTCTAAAAACGAAAAAATGTGGAATACATTAAAAAAGATGAAACAATTAACTATATT